AATCCTCTCACCCTCCGCATCTCTGGCCTGTACCCCAGTTCTGTATGAATAAATAAATCTTAAAAAAATAAAAATAAAAAAAAAATAAATTTCACCTATCCCCTCTTGCTTTTTAAAATGTGGCTATTATAAAATGTGTAATTTCATATTTGGCCTGTATTTGTAGCTTGCATTATATCTCTATTGGCCAGCGCTGTAATATTATTTAACCTTACTGCAACTTCTGAAACGATACATCTGCATTAACAGGCATATCTTCTTGGAAGGCAGTTACTACCAATGCTAACTCAGGTAGGTATACAGTTAATGACTGCTCTATTGTGTTTATTTAGGTAAGAGGATTTTAATCAGTCAAAGGCCAATCAATCCATAGCCAAGAATATGAGAAAACACACAGCGATGATTTGGTGAAAGTTTAACAATGAAAATAGCTTCAGATTTAAAAAAAAATAATTCAAACTTTCCTTAGATAAATACTTCCTTTTTTTGGATAATCTATCTTTAAAAAAGTTAATGTGAAGTCGTAGTGTGTCCCTGGATCTTACTTGAAAACATTAAATATATTCATCTAAGTATCATTTACTTTTCACAAAAATCGTGAAAGATAATTAGCAAGTTATTTACACGCTAAAAATACAGTCCTAAATGTTGTGTTCTAGGAAACAGAACTTGGTCCAAACTCTTCCTAACGAAAGACTGCAATTCGTTTTTAAATTTAAATCCGTGCTAAAACTCACTTCTAACTCATTTCCAAATTCCCCAGTACTCAAACGAATCCGAAGAAAAACAGGCAAGGTGGCACTCAGACATATAGAAAAAACTAAAAGTTCAGACGTTGTTAAATGTCTTCCAGATCTGACATAATCAAGGGCTTTTGCTATTTCTGCTTACTTATAAACGTTTCCTATGTAACACAACACTATTCTACAAAGACAAGCAACACTAGGCGTCTGGGTTGGGTTGTTCATGTGCAAAAGGGCTAAAGCTGTAGCACCTTGGCTTTCCTACCTTTCTGCAATTATTTTCCTTCTAATATTGTAGGATGAAAGCGCGCCTTAAAATGTAGGCGCTATTGGCCCTCCCTGGTGGCGCAGCGGGTTAAAGCACTGCACTGAGAAACTAAAGCCACTTCCCACTTGCCCCGGAGGTGACCACACGGCGCTGCAGACCAGACCTCTCCTGACCCGCCCGCTGCTCCCCTCAGCAGTGTACTTCGTCGATCTGCCTGTTCTGCTCCCCGCTCTGTCTCTGGTGAATCCTCTCACCCTCCGCATCTCTGGCCTGTACCCCAATTCTGTATGAATAAATAAATAAATCTTTTTAAAAAAATGTAGATGCTATTGCTTATTTATTTATTTATTTATTTATTTTTACTTCGGAACACCAACAACACGCTTACTGCCGAAAGGTCAAATGCGAGATTTCTTTCCCGCACCTAGAAATGACAATTCTGTCTCCAAGAGCGATAACCACATTCAGGTCGAGACAACCAAAGCACTTGACCTCTATATAACCTATAAAGGCTATATAGAGAGGTAACCACTAAAATGGTAATCATTATTACTTAGGTGAATTTACAAGCGCAGACGAGTAACAGCGAAACATTCGCCTCCAATACCTTTTCCAACACTCTATCAAAACAGCGAAGCTTCTTCATGGCTTTCACCACCTCCTGCACAGTCTGTGTCATGGAGCCCATCGTGGATCACCTGCCGGCGTCTGGGTCCTTCACAAGAATGAACCTAGCTGAAACCCTGAAGTTTGCAAAAGAACGAGGACACCGAGGGCAGGGAGTACGTAAACCTCTCACTCACGCCGAGAATTTGGGATCTGGTAGCTAGCGCTCCTGCAGCCACTGTCCCCTGCGACTCGCGCACAAACGTTCCGCGCGCTTTTGTAGCCGCGCGCTTGCGCCGTTTAGCTCTCCTGCGCAGCGCCTAAGTCCCAGGAGGCGTAGCCTCATCCACCGCCTCCGAGGGCGGAGCGCGTTTCCTCGCCGGGCAGTTGATGCTGGAGGGCTGGGTGGCGGCGCCTGCGCAGAGAGGCGCGCAGGCAACCTGGCCCTCGTCAAGGGGCGTAATCCGCCGTGAAGTATGGATCCCGAGGGCGGGCTGGAGATTGAGGTGGAGTTTGAACGAGAAGAGGGGGAGCCCGAGGTGAAGAAGCGGAAGCTTATGTGTGTGGAGTTTGCCTCCGTCGCCAGCTGCGACGACGCCGTGGCTCAGTGCTACCTGGCCGAGAACGACTGGGAGATGGAAGTACGCTCGTGCCTTTCCTCTCTTCTGCTCTTCCTCCTGTACGTGCAGCACACAGATTCCATCCGTGTGGTTTTGTCTTTCAGAGAGCCCTGAACTCCTACTTCGAGTCTCCTATAGAGGAGAGCACCTTGAAAAGTCTTTCCGAGGCCTCCCCTGAGCGCGAGCCCTGGTAAGTGATGAGAGAGGAGCGAGAGCCAGTAAAGATGTGGGCTCTTTCCTATGGGTATCCTGGGACCTGGGTGGAGTTGGGCGGGAGGCTTGAGTATGGGCAGTTGACCCAATTGAATTAACAAAAACCAAGGGTCTGTGTTGCTGTCTCTGGGTGGAGATGCTCTCCAGCATCAGGGCTATCTCTCCTCTCGTGAGGTCCACACTGGAACTTCAAAGTAACCTGGAGTGCCGGGAGGAACCGTCTGAGATGTCATTTTTCGTTTGAATTGTAGTCTGGAGGAAGAAAAATGTCCCCCTTTTAGGTTTCTTAATTGGTGTAGCATTTAAGATGATGTAATAACAGACCAACAGGAGAAAAACATTTAGTTACATACCTCCGTGAATGCCATAAAGATAGTGAGGATCAAAGCAACCAGGTGATTGAAGTTTTACAAAAAACATCTTGTGCCAAGGAAAGCGGTAGGGCGTCTGCGGGTACAAAGAGGGGGGCAGTGGTGGCTAGGAACATCACTCCCTATGCAGTTGAAAATCCATTTGTGATATATAGTTGGCCCTCGATGTTTATGGTGCAGACCTAGGGTTGCTTGAATCCATGAATGCAGAATCTGTAGATACAAAAAAATCTGCCTTATAAGTCGACCCTATGATCGTATTGTTCAAGGTATATGCCATCCTGAGATGAGGAATGGGATAAGGGCTTAGGGCTTCAGAGGGGGAAACGGCCATTCAGAGGATGATGAGAAGAGCTAATACTGGGTAACTAGATGTTTGCCCTGCCAAAATTTCATAAATAGTTATTTCTGTTAATAACTCATTATAGGAAAGGTCCCCTACCTAAGTTCTTCTGTGTAGTTAGGGAGAGGTAAAAGTTCTCTTAGTTGCGTGAAACGCAGAATAATCCAAATGCTGAAGTGAGACATCTTGGGGAGCTCAGTTCTGAATCCCTTTGCATTCCTGTATTTTTGACTTTTACATGTTTCTGCTTGTTTACAATTTCTTTTGATTTGTTCAAAATAGTATGAGTTAGTATACCTGTTAGTTACAACCTAACTTGTAGCTGATTAATTTAAGGAAGAAATCGGAACCTAGGAAATGGATACCCTGAAATTGTCACTGCGAATAAAGGGAGGTCTGCTGAGTAATGGTACAATGGAACACAGTTATTAGGGTCCCCACCTCAAGCTGATAAATTGACAAAAACAAGCAGTGGCCTGTTGTCTCTTAAACCTCAGATCAAGTGTCAGTGAATGAAGCAGTTTTGAGGAGGAAAAAATGAGGATGACTAAAGATTCTTGATATTTCTGAGTCCTACATCCTCTTAGAGCATGTCCTCATCAGGTTTTTTAATGTTGACTTTAGCAAAAAATGAAAGTAAAGGAAATTGATAGAGAGGTTTTTATGACCTGAGAAACTAAAGACTGCTGAATTTAACTTTTGAGTGCCTTAATCTGGTAGGGCAAAAATCTCAGTTCTTTAGTGGGTTGCTAGTAGATTAGCAAAAACCAATCTTGAACAGGAAAGTTGAATTAGCCCTCTGAATTGGAACCTATCTTCAGCTCCAGGGAATGCTTCTTAAAACCAGGACAGTGAATTTTAGCAGCATTTAGAATTACCTTGGGAATTAAAAATGGTCTGGAGGCCCAGTCCCCAGAGATATTACTTTAATTAGTCTAGAATGGGCGCCTTTATCCTTCACAGGATTTTGCCTTTTTTTTTTTTAAATGCTGCACAGGCTATTCTAATGTGGAACCAACACTGACACCCCCAGATTAGGGCCTGATTACTTGAGACCCAAGCAGCATCATACAACTTGGGAGTTGAGTTCGACATGGAATGTGTCAGGCACTATCTGGGATCTGTGAAATCAGTCTGCAGTTTAACAAGATCCCCAGGTGATCTAAAATTTGAGGGACATTGTCCTAGAGAGAGAATCTAACTTCACCATTTGCACTGACACATTTGCCCCACTTGGAAAGGAAGTCAGCAAATGATTTCCTTAAAATTTACTAGTCCCTTTCAGTTCTTCCAAGACAGTAATCTTTTACATTCTCTTTGTGTTTCCCACCAAAGTGGTGTGCCTATCTCAAAGATGGCAGGCATGGGTGATGTGGGTTTTACAGTAGTCACAGTAAAACATGGCATGTTGCTCTGCAGGCCATTGGCCAACCCATTTTTGGGTGAGTCTGAGGATTATTTTTATCCATAAAGATTATTTGGAAGGTTTTTTTTTTTTTAAATAAAAATTGGTATTAAGTAGTGAGATCTTGACTTCTAAATATTATTTTTTTCACTGAAAAGAACAAGTTGTCATTATAAATGACTGATCCCAAGACAGGAATGGATAATGAATAAGATGAGCTGGTATATCTTGTGTTAGTAGAAAGTCAGGAAGTGCCCAGAAAATGTTGGAGGACTGGATTGAACTATGCTCCCTATTCAAGTCTGTAACAATTGGAGCAAAGAGTAACTGTAGAAACAGTATGATTTATAGAATAAAGTATTAACTACAGTGGAGAGATATCTGATAGACAACACCTTAACCAGCTGAATAAAGTTCAACTGATATGTGCCGCGGACCGGCCCTAGCCAGGGCACCGGGACCGAGGGAGAGACAGGGTCTGAAGACAGGAGAACGGGATTCGGCGCAGGAACTGACAGACAGTCACACTCAGAGGAGTTGATGGACTGCTGCGATTTTATTGCAATTTGTGTAGATTTTTATACAGTAAGTGTAAGGAAACTGGTGTTCGTCCAGGTAGGTTATACATTGCCAGATGCTGACATAATCTA